CCCCCAGCACACCACCTCCACCTGTGAGTCAGCCCATCGGCCACCTGCCTACATTTTAGCCCACATTGTAGCTGAGAGAGACAGGCGTGCAATCAGAACCAGAATTTAACTTCAAGTTCATCGTGAATTATTGGATAGATGTTGGAGCATCCATAGCTTATTGCGTGGGACACTTTTCTCCCCCTTGAAATTTCATTTGGACTGTGTGTGAAAAGGTTCTTGCAAGCGATTTGAATGAGATTGAGGGCTTTAATGAAATGTCAGACTGCTCGGATTGTTTAGTTTGTATCAAAGTAAAAGAACAGTCAAAGGAAAGAATGGTACCTTAGTGGTACCCTGGGCTGCATTTAGCTGGGTTTGGCATATTACTAAGGTTTCTGAGCTGCTGGCTGTTGTCTGAAATAAAACGTACTGAATAAATTCTGTGGGTTAAATGGTAACACGGAAAGAGAACGGAGAAAGACCACTTTCTCCCTTTCCTACTGATCTAGGCAGCTATTTCACCCCACTTCTTTTTATAACTGATTTATTTTTTTTATTACTTCCCATCCCCTATAACTGATAATTTTTAATTTACAGCCCAGTTGTTGCTGATCCCTGGAAGGATACATCTACATTTTTGTTTGAAGGAAATTTGGAGACACAAAATGGAACAGAGCAACAACAAAGAGGTAACTGCTGCCCTCCCTAACCTGCTTGTATGACTCTCAAGAGTTATTCTGGCAACTTTAGGTATATTGCGTTAATAAAATATTACAATTCCGCTTTAAAAACGTTTTTAAAAAATAGGCTACAAGAATGTTGCATGTTTGGCTTGTATTTTATTTCTCTTGGACAGAAGTGCCTTTTGGACTGCATTCCTTTATAACGCTGGTAGTATTTAGGAGCAGGCGTAGCTGTTAAGGCTTAATCATAATTCCTTTTTCCTAACGGGTCCTGTTAAAGAAACGTTCTGGCACCATTATTAGGAATATTGCAGCAAGCGCATTGCAGTTAGGGGAGAGACTGGGCTCAACTCCATATACAACAAAGACTAATGGATTTATAGCCTCTGAGCAGAGTGAGAGGCAGGGGTCAGTGGATGGAAAAGAGAGGAGACATCAAGAGTTTGGGATTCTTGCTAAATGATTTACAGATTTAAGATTCTGGCTGAGGGCAGGCCACGGTGATCAGATATCCAGGATGGGAAATGAAGAACTTAATCAGAGACTGAGTTTGATCACATAATAAGGGTAGAGGATGCTTAGGAATCTTGCTAACACTGGGCTCGACAGGGTCTAGGTCCGGGTCCGGGCCTAGTCAGAAGAGGAGCCTGACTTCAGGTTGGTCAACAAGAGACTGTCAATCATGAACAGTTTCCAGCCTCCTGCCTGCCTGGACTCCAGGCGTTGGAAGTTCACGAAAGATCCCTTGTGGCCAGGAGGCTTATAACTATTTTATCAAATGCATTCATAAGCAATTTTCCATTCAGCTGACTCTGAGCGATAGCATAAAGCCAGGTTCTTAATAAGGGAGGAGACTTAGATGGACTGTGGAGGAAATGCAAGGCCACATAATGGCTGTAGTGAAAACAGAGGTGGTTGACGGGCCATTCGGTTCTGCCAATTAATTGGAGGAAATAAAGCTGCTTTTTTCTTACAGAATCCCCGAAGTCATGTGTGACTTAAAACACTTTTTGTTTGTAAACTTTCAGGGCCACGGTGTGGTGGGTGGTCATTCTGATCTTCCCGTCAAGAAGGCGATTAATTTTTCCCCTCCGCTATACAGACAGCGTTACAGCTTCGTTAACGACCTGGTGAATCAGCACAAACCCAAGAAGGTAGGTCTTGGTTTCCAAACATTTCATTAAAACTCTCTTATAAAATGTTTTGTTAAATGCAGAAGCCTTGGTTAGTAAGTAACCAGAGACTGTTCGGAAATACTCTCACAAGGAGGGAAAGGGTTAGAGAGGGAAAACTAAGCTTGGAGGAGCTGGGTGAGCGAAGTGGAATGAACGAGCGCTTGGTTAACATGTGAGGTTAAACAGGACTTACTTCCCCCACCCCCCAGGCTTATCATGTCTCCAGATTAATTTCCTCTCATGTACTTCTTTTCTGCCAAAGAGATCCTTCCATACGATGTTTTATTATGGTTTCACTTCTGCTGCCCACTCCCTGTAAAGAAGGTCTTGGGTCGTACTTGACTTCTCTGGCTACAAACGTCTTTGAAATGACACTGGTCTCATCTACAGGTGGCAGACTTGGGGTGTGGCAATGCTTCCCTCATACAGATGATTAAATCGCACAGTTGCCTGGAACTGATTGTTGGAGTAGATATCAATAAAGATAAAATAGGATCGCAAAGGTAATGCCTAGTTTCTGGAGGAGGGGTGCATCGATCTAAAACCAGTGGCACTATTACATATGCTTAGAGGAAGGGTCAATTTTATGCAAGATTTACACTATGTTAAATGTTAAAATGCGTTGTACATTATACACCAAGAGAGCCTCAGGCTCTCTGAATAATGACTATGCCCTCATGCTAATTAGCTGTATACGCTGTGAACACCCGTTTCCTACCAATGTAGAAGTAGAGTCTCAATTAAGTAATTATCATCGTCAGCGCATTGCAGACTCAGTTTCAAAGGGCAAGAATCTGATTAGGTTGATGCTGGACGCCATGGTAACGGCAGAGCCCCAGGCAGCCATCTCTAGTTTGAAGCAGAGCAGCTCTCCAATATCCTGTATATATTGGATTTCCACGGATTGTTTCAAAAGGGTGTTTCTTTTAAAGGTCAAGAAGCTGAAAATCACTGATCCAAAGTGAGCCGGGAGACCAAAAATATTAAAAATGGGAGCAATGTCAAATATTCAGTACCTTGTTCTGATTGGCCAGTTACTCCCTCCATGAAAGGAAGTTACTCTCATGTCTGTAGTTGGGATAACTCTAAACAGTTCTGCTCAAATGCGCTGACTTCTACAATCACGCTTTTGCAGGTGTAGATTGTCTCCATTCTCGGGGGAGTATCTAAGCCCCCGGGACCTGAATCTGTCGATCATCTTGTACCACGGCTCTGCTGTGGAGAGAGATTCTCGTTTGCTTGGATTTGACTTAGTCACGTGTATCGAGTTGTAAGTATTAAAGCATTCCTTCTGTATCATTAGAAAAATGTCACTGGATTAGTCTTCGTAAACTTTGTTCCCTAAATGTAATCTGGATTTTTATTTGTAAAGAAAATTGCTTGTCGGTTGGGACTGGCCTGTTACCACCCCGTCTCATCCGGGATGGGCGAAGGGAAGGACGAGGCCGTTTCAGGGTCACTGTTACATCCTCCAAGGGGGGATACATCAACATAGAGACAGACCTTGTTTTGCGAAGTCAGTTAGGGAAATCGTGCAAGTGAAGCTCGATTTGACTCGATCTGTCCCCGCTGACCCTTTCAGAATAGAACATTTGGATTCTGAGGACCTGGCCAGGTTTCCCGAAGTCGTGTTTGGGTACCTGTCTCCGGCCATGGTTGTCATCAGCACGCCCAACTCGGACTTCAACCCCCTGTTCCCGGCAGTGACCTTGAGAGATTCAGATCACAAATTTGAGTGGAACAGGAAGCAGTTTCAGACCTGGTGAGTGCAAAGGTGTCTTGGTTTCTCGGATCCCCCACGGGCATTTAAAATCCTGGGGAGTAAACCTTGATGGATAAGTGACTGACGTGGTTTCCTTCCGCAGAGCACATGAGCCAAGCCAGTGGGAAGTTCATTTTCTCATGTCTCAGGCGGGTGTGGGAAAGGTGTGTGCCCTCCAGGTGTGAGGCGTCAGGAAACAGGACCTAGGGAAGGCGTGGCACTGAGTGGTGCCCTGGCCCAGGGGCATCTCCCAGGGGCTCCACGGGTTCTTGGCACAATTCTAAACCCAAATAGGAGTTGGGGTTATAGCCTTTGTGGTGTCCTTGTCCATTCCTCTGCTCTGTCCCACATTCCTTGTCTTCATGGTCCTGTGGTTCATTCCCTCACAGTCATTGCCTGAATGCCCCCCAGAGAAGCAAGCAGACCCCACGCGGTGGCATAGTGTGATGTGTAAGAACCTGCAGCTCAGCGGTCTCTTGGTTCCTTGCATTGTTCGCGTTCTGTTCTACCGGGAATTGCTGTCTATGGAACAGTAGTTCCGAGTTTAGAAAAAAACGATCTCTCTCCTTGTTTTGATTCCAGGGCCTTAGGGGTGGCAGATTTCTACAATTACTCCGTGGAGTTTACTGGCGTGGGGGAGCCACCGGAAGGAGCTGGGAATGTTGGCTACTGTACCCAGATAGGGGTCTTCCGGAAAATCGGAGCGCCGGCCACGGAATCGTGCGTGGCAGAGCAGTGTGGTCAGCACGTTTATAAGATTGTGAGTGTTCTTTTTTAAATTTATTTTTTATTGATTTCAGAGAGAGGAAGGGAGAGAGAGATAGAAACATCAATGATGAGAGAGAATCACTGATTGGCTGCCTCCTGCACATCCCCCACTGGGGACCAAGCCTGCAACCCAGGCATGTGCCCTGACCGGGAATTGAACCATGACCTCCTGGTTCATAGGTCAATGCTCAATCATTGAGCCACGCCGGCCGTGTAGATTGAGTGTTCTTTGTGGGGCAGCTGTCGGGACAAGAACTGCATGTACCTCGATGGTGAACAGTTCCCTACCAAGAGTCCCCGCAGCAGAGAGGAGTGGTGGCCTGATTCTGGGGGTGACCCTGGGAGAAGCCTACATCCCCACCGCGGTCAGAGCTTTGAGATGGGTGGTCTTTTGAGCTGTTGGGCCAGCGGCCTCCCTTGTGGGTTCTTGGCAGGAAGAGGAAAGCCAGCAGGCATTTCACTGCTGGGCTCAGAAACTGATTTGGAACTGAGCCTCCAAGTGCCTCAGACCCTTTGGTTTTGGAGGTATGGGGAAGAACAAACACATCTCCCTCTTTAATTAGCAACACTTTTCCTTTTTGACCCCATGTGTCAGTATTTACAATTAGTAGGGTTTGACATTTGCACATACTATACAGTTATTCTTTTTTTTTTTCATTCTCGCCCAAGGATATTTTCCCATGGATTTTTTAGGGAGAGGGAAAGACAGAGAGAAACATCGATGCGAGAGAAACACATTGATTGGTTGCCTCCTGCACAAGCCCTGACCAGGGCTCAGGCCAGGGAGGAGCCTGCAACCGAGGTATGTGTCCTTGACTGGAATCGAACCCGGGACCCTTCGGTCCACAGGCTGATGTTCTAACCACTGAGCCAAACCGGCTAGGGCCATAGAGTTAATTCTTCATGTGGTAGGAAGTTACTACTCATGGTCTGGAACATTTTCCTATATCCTTTTTTTTTTTTTTAAGTATATTTTATTGATTTTTTTTTTACAGAGAGGAAGGGAGAGGGATAGAGAGTTAGAAACATCGATGAGAGAGAAACATCGATCAGCCGCCCCCTGCACACCCCCCACTGAGGATGTGCCCGCAACCAAGGTACATGCCCCCGACCGGAATCGAACCCGGGACCCTTCAGTCCACAGGCCATGTGGTAGGAAGTTACTACTCATGGTCTGGAACATTTTCCTATATCCTAAGTGGTTTTTTCCTCCCGGCTTCAGGTTTATTCCGTTTCCTATCCGAGTTTACAGCAAAAGGAAGTCCGCAAACTCGCATTAGCAAATGAGGTGTCTCGGCAAATCCAAAGCATGCGGCAGAGATATGTCTCCAGCCTGAGGATCCTACAGCGCGGCGATGGGGACGGCCACCAGGTCAGCGACACCGGGCTCGTCACCTTCTCTGGACCAGTCTTCACGGAACTCGAGAAACGCAAAATCGAGAAGTCTCCCGAACCGTTCCGCTTTGGGAATAAGCTCTACGTCCCGCTGGAAAGGCTGCTCGCTTATCCCAAGGTGAACCGCCTGTGTGACAGCGTGGACACGATGCGAGCGCTCATCGCTGACACGGTGAGGCTGAGCAGGGACGGGTCCGCCGTGAAGGTCGACCTGCGGGATGCGAGTCCGTGAGCCGCCCGTCCTGAGAGTCGGGGTCTCAGCCAAGGGAGGGCTTGCCGAGGATGCTCTCGTGTAGCCATTATTCAAGTAACTTAGTTTTGAGATTACTTGACAACGTTGTTGTGTGTGTGTGTTTTTTTTTAATAGGCTTGTTTTGTTTGGGAGTGTTTGTAGAGAGTTCCTGATATGCTTGGTTTTTGTTGCTGTTGGCATTAAAGAATGTTAAAGAAAATGGAGCGTTTACAACTTTTTCCCAGGGGGTAAGGGTAGCTTTAAAATCTCTCTAGGATTCGCTACTTCCTTGGCGCTAAATTCTGATGTCTCCTACTTAGCCTAAAACAGTGGTTCTCAACCTTCCTAATGCCACGACCCTTGAATACAGTTCCTCATGTTGTGGTGACCCCCAACCATAAAATTATTTTCGTTGCTACTTCATAACTGTAATTTTGCTCCTGTTATGAATCGTAATGTAAATATCTGATATGCAGGATGTATTTTCATTGTTACAAATTGAACATAATTAAAGCATAGTGATTAATCACAAAAACAATATGTAATTATATATGTGTTTTCCGATGGTCTTAGGCGACCCCTGTGGAAGGGTCTTTCGACCCCCAAAGGGGTCGCGACCCACAGGTTGAGAACCGCTGGCCTAAAACATCATACAACACAGGAGTGCAGGTGACGGGAGGAAAGGGGAGCTTCGTGACGTGAACACTGTCCGTGGGTTTCGAATGCCCTCTTCGGCAGCTTGCTGGCTGGAACAGGGGGAGATAGTCATGGAGGAGAGAGAAGCACCGCTTCATGTAATGGGGCGAAGAGTGGTTTCATGCTACGGCTACCATGCTTTATCTCGGATATGTGCATGCCTTTGGGGACATCCCCAGATAGGGGCACGTCATATTGCTGAGATCCACCAAGCTGGTAGAATGGCGAAGCCCTAAGTGTATACAATGGGAATTTCACCTTGCAAGTCGTCTTCAAAGCTAGTGGCACGCCAGTTATGCACTTACCCTGAAAATGAGCTCAGTGCCCTGCCTAATAGTATACTCTGCCTGCATGGCTACATTCATCTCTCCCCTCTCCACCCCATCTGTCCGCTGGACCCTGGCTCTGATCAGTTCATCGTCTTTCCCAGAAACACTGCATTGCTCCCGATTCCCACACCTCAGCCTGGACTCGGCTTCGTTGGTTTTGCCGAACAGATGGACTTTCCACTGCTGTGTCTCTGTCCAGCCTTGTCCCTCCGTCTCTTCATTTATACTGATCACCCAGACCTTTCCAGTAGGATCCTCATGAAAGTGAATTGACAGAATCTTTCATTAATCCCATACAAAAGGGAGACACTTTTACCCTATTTAAGAAAAGTATGAAAAATGACTTCAAAGTATTTCAAATTACTTAAAATTAGTGCTGAAAAGATTTTCCTTTGGCTGGCTCAGTGGTTGAGCGTCAACCCAGGGTCAACCCATGAACCAGGAGGTCACAGTTTGATTCCTGGTCAGAGTTGCAGGCTTGGGGGGGGGGGGGGGCAGCAGATCAGTGACTCTCATCATTGATGTTTTTGTCTCTCTCTCCCTTCCTCTCTCTCTTTCTCTGAGGTTGATGGAAATGTATTAAAAAAAAAAACTTCCTTTGATCACAACATGGAATATGGGGAAAGAAGGGCAGGCACAGGATCACGTGGGAGAGCTATGCTTAAACTGAATCACTGAAGCTCAATACCAGAAGGTGGCACACTTTCTCACTTAAAGTAAATGCATTCTTTTGCTTTGAGGACTCCTGATACAAGATGCAAAACAACAAAACAAAACAAAACAAAAAAACACCCCAAAACTTAGTCTGCCAATTTCCTATGGAGGCTTGAAGCTTTTGCCACACAGGAAAGCGCTGCTGAAATGATTTAAAGATCTAGTAGTGAAGTCACTTTCTTCAGAGAAATGGTTCAGGAAACAGCTCGACCTGCCTGAGTTGTAACTGCATAGGAATGGGGTCTGAGCTAACTCAGACAGGAAGGTGTGACATTTCCTTAGTGCCTGGGTCATCTGGAGTAGAGATCACCAACTCAGGGAATGTCTAAATTAAGGCCGTTTCTCTTTTGCATCTTGTGTAATGTGGGATGGACTGACTCCACCAGAGATTTCCTATCATGCACATGGAGAGATTTCATTTCCATATACTAGTATGTGCTGCTACCAGGTGTATGATGCACAGAGAGGAAGAGGTAAATTAAGGGGAAAGGGGAGAGGATGGGGAAGGAAGAGAGAAAAGCACTAAACGCTGAGTCATAATAAGAAAGCTGGGCCTGGGAGCTCATCAATGTTTCTCTCTCTCTCCCTCTCCCTTCCTTTGTCTCTAAAATAAATACAAATTTTAAAAAGAAAAAGAAAGACAGTAGGTTCTGAAGGGTGTTTGGATTCAGACGCAGGTCTCTTGTTGCAGGCTCATGGCCGGGGCTGCAGGAGCTGCCTCGGGGTGCGAAGTGTCTTTTGAGGGGAAACCCCCAGGGAAAAGTTATACACTGGTCCTTTCACGTCTGTTTTCTGACCTTGGCAAGTGACAGAATCTTTAACTGAAATGTTAAACTTTAAGATACGATTTTTATTGAACTTGTATAGGATTCACCTTTACATTATTACAAATACTTTACAATAAAAAATTAGTTTTTGTAAAAAAAAAAGGGGGGGGACCATTTCCTGGATTTATAGTTGTGCAGTTAAAACAAAGAAATGTATAAAAATGAAGGTCATTCTCCAAGTAGTAGAACACAATACTAATGGAATCACTTCAATTAACATTTTTGCATAAACACTGACATGACTACTTACACTGTATCAGCTTCCACAAGAACAAACAAATGCACAAAAACGAAGGTAAATCCCCAACATACGGTGTATTTTTTTTAAAAAAATCAAACTGAATGTACCCAAAATGTCTTCCTGTGATGGGATTTGGTCAATGACTATCATCAAGAGATGGACATACACATTTGCAGATGCAGAGCATGTAGCCTGCGTAAATTACGAAACCTGCCAGCTGTGCTGTGCGGAGGAGGAGCTAGAAACCACCTACACAGCCGTTTAAAATACAGTGTAGACAGGGTAGGGCAAAAGTAGGCTTACAATTGTGAGTAATCTAAACAGTTTCTTCTTGTATTATTATTTTTTTACATTTTAAAACCTTTTCTTGAATGGGAGAGTGGGAGGAATTAGAATACCTATTATTTGTTAATTATTGTATTTTCCATATGAACAACTGTAAACCTACTTTTGCCCCACCCTGCATATTATCTTATGAAAAGTCATAAGAATAATAAGGCCTTATTTCCAGAGCAGTCTTAAAACAGGGTTCATATAGGCATATTTCATCCTTTATGTTTTTGGATTTCATATTCTTCAACATCTCAACTCTTACAATTATGCACAGTACCTAAGCCAACATATAAAGAGTGACATGACGCAGTTCTAGCTACAGTACCTGATTATAGTCACACGACGTACCATCTAGGAGAACTGACCAAGTACAGTTTCTGAACCGCCCCCGTTAAAGACCTGCCAAAATAAAATACAACCCCATCACGTGAGCCCAGTCTCTTGGGAGCGTTATTATATGTCCTGGAAGCCTAATCTTCAGAGTAGTTCTTCAGTGAAGCGTTGAACAATACTGTCAGCCTGAGCTTGCAAAGTGGTCATTAGCGTGGAATTCTTAAAGTCTAAAATTATGTCTGAATGTTTTCCAGGTATTGAATCTCATTGCTACCTAAATATGTTTTGACTGGAGGCTAGTAGATACTTAAAAGAATCTTGGTCAAGACTTTGTCAGATTATAAAAACGAATCATGTTGGGTGCTTGTATGTAGAGCCTTCAACGCCACCGCACAGGGTGAGCGGATGGCTCAGGGCCTTCTCTGTCCTTGGCTGCCCTTCACATCCTCTCTGGTCTCCGTCACCAGCACAAGTCACAGGAAGTGGGCTCCTGACCTGCTTCTTCTGTAATTCCCCCAAACAAGGTATTTAAGACTCTTATCAGAAATATGTCACTTTAAAATACCATTCATTTTTTTCTCTAGCACTGGGTTAGGAAATGTTACAGTTGTACAAATTCTCCAAGACTAGGGGACTTGAAATTTGAGTCTAATATTTAGAAGTCAATGTATTAAGATCTACTTTTTCAAATTCGATTTTCTAAACTCAAAACAAAACCAAAAGTAGACTTAATATTGAATAAGCAGATTTACAGGCTTGAAGGAAGAAGAACTTGGAAGTAGGGCAGACACGTAGGCAAACTCTAACATATTTTTCGGGACTGTAATGAAATGTGGTTGTTGCAAAGTGTGCTGATGGGGCACAAAACAGAATAAAATGGACGCAGACTTCACTGACTACAAAGGACATTGCCATCTCTCTTCTTCCGATGTTTCCGTGTATTAAGATGTTTGTTATGTTGACTCAAACAGAAATCAAGATGTTATCCGGTGGCTGCTAAATTTATACAGGCATGATTTTTATGGTCTTCAAAATTCACCTTTTGTTTTTAGAAAAGAATTCTGTGTCATTTTCAAATACCGAGAGCCCGTCTCGCATAAAGGTCTTGGACAAGGGCAGCCAAGGATGAGTAACAGGGCTGGTGTCCGAATTACAGCACCTTCGACATAGCTGGAGGATGTCCTCAGGGAACCTGGCCTACGGTCTAGTTGTTCGCATTTCACAACTGCAAAGCCATTTGCAGAAGTGCCAACCAAAAATATAGCTTAGGAATAATATTTTGAAAATAGAAAAATAGGTTTTTAAAATGTCATAATAAATATCTCTCTAAACAATATCTTCATATCTCTATTGCAAACTTTCTTTGATTCTTTGCTGTAATATACACCAAGGGGATCATTCATTTGTTTAGTCATAGACAAGTCTTTACCACTTGAGGTAACATTTTCCTTGGCTGGACTTAAATCTTCAGGTCATTTTTTTTTCTTCAAAACAAATCTTAGAAAATTTAATGACTCAGAAAAAACCCTATCTGGGTGTCACTGCTTTAAAAATCTCAGAATCTATTTGTAAAAGTAGTTTTGGATTCGTTTGGAATATCCAATCCTTGAAATATTAAAACCACACAAAAGCCCTAACACGAACTATTTAAAGTTTCTCCAACCTCTCAATTAGAATATTAAAATAATATTTTCTTAAAAATACCCCCCCCCCTATTTTGCCAACATGAAAATACATAGACCAAGGA